CTGGTCAACCATGAGATCCCTATCCAGTCCGGCGGCACGTGACGACAGAGTGGAAATTTCATTCGAAGGCCCCGTCTAGTCGGACCGGTAGAAATGCGGGAGCTTTTTTAGCCTGCAATAGATAAGGCCAAGCGTCGAGTGATCAGAAGGTGTATAATCTGCCAAAAAGTAGTGCACCCCTTGCGCAAACCAGCAGCGAAGTCCAGGTGGCCATCGGGAAAGCGAAAGCCTCCAAAGCCATTGATGCCGATGGAATATGCAAACTGGTACTGAACAAATTTAATCCGGCGGAAGTAGTAAATGCCACCAAGGTTTCTAATCTATGGCTAGCCAGTCTCATAATTCCAAATATGAGGAAATCTAGGAGGGCAGTTTCACTGCTAAATCCAGGAAAACCAGCTTAAATGGGGCGTCTTATCGGCCGATAACTCCTTTCCACACGAAGACGCTTGTGGCCCTGCTGCTCCCGTACTTAGCGTGTCCCCTGACTCCAACAAAGCATCGGGATGGCTTCCGTAAGTGCACCGCCACCGCACTTAACGCCATAAACTCTCACCCCTGTGAGAGAACGGTCCTAGTATAGTCGGACAAGTCAAAGGTGTTTGACGCCGTCTGTGATTTCACGTACCGGAACACATTCAGCCTTATCGCCAACTTCATGTGAGGAAATCATTCCGAAAATTTAACAGGCAAACCAAAACAAAATGGAAAACATGTTTTTGTTCTTTATAATTCTTGGGATTTGTTCTCATGGAATTCGTGACAAGGCCAATTCAGGCTTCCTCTCCCCAACAGGGACTCAGGCGGTGGTCGGCGAATTATCTGAGTGGCCGGCAGTCGTCCGTTAACTTTCGAGATCAAACTTTTATACTGAGGAGAATTAAATATGGGGTACCTAAGGGTGGTGTGTTTCACTTCTATTAAAAATGATGATTTGAAATCTAAGTGCCTGGAGCTTAGTAGGCTCAAATCTGACTACGGATTTAAAATGTCTGGCCCGAAGTTATACTAGATTAATAGCTTCATATAAAAATACCCTGTTCAAATTTGTATGGCTGAAAACGGGTAAATATAAAAAAAAAATAATTAAAACAAGTAAGAGCAGCGCTGTCTTCGGCTATGCCGAAGGCTTCATACCTTTCATGAACATCTGCAAATTTTACTTTGACAGATTACTGCTTTTGAATACATCTGCATACATCGATAGAGGAGTTACATACTTATATAAAAAATCGCATCTAAACAATCAGAGGTATGGAAGATATACTTTATATGACACCAATCTAAGTGATTTTCGCCGCTATGTGATCGGTATGTAAACCGGTAACACAATTTATTGGGTTTAGTTTCGTACATAAAGGAGATATATGGCAAAAACTGGTATCTTAACAATCAGTGCTATAGGAGATAAAGCTTATACAGCTTAGATTTTGACGATTTTCTCAGTAGACTTTGTATTATTATTTATAAAATATCTTACGAAATTTATCGGTTTTAGCTGTTCAAATAAAGGAGTTTTACAGTAAAATCCCATATCTGAACAATCAGATGTATGGAAGATATATGTTGTAGTCATCCGATCCTTGTTATTTCCACTGTAAGTATTCTGTTAATAATGAGTGAAAATGGTGCGGAATTTCATGTTCCTAGCTGCATAAATGGAGGAGTTATGATAAAAGACCTCATATCTGAACAATCAGTTGTATGGGGGGCTGCAGGTTATAGTGACCCGATCTTTGTTATTTTCGCTGTAAGTCTTCTGTTGATAATGAGTGAAAACAGCGCGAAATTTCATGGTCCTAGCTACATAAATGGATGAATTATAACGAAAAATCTCATATCTGAACAATCAGTTGTATGGGAGCTATAAGTTATAGTTACCCGATCTTTTTAATTTTCACTGTAAGTTTTTTGTTGATAATTATTGAAAACAGTGCGGAATTTCATGTTCCTAGCTATATAAATGGAGGAGTTATAACGCAAAATTTTATATCTGAACAATCAGTTGTATGGGAGCTATAGGTTATAGTGACCCGATCTTTGTAATTTTCACTGTAAGTATTCTGTTGATAATGGGTGCAAGTATTGCAAAATTTTATGTTCGTAGCTGCATAAATGGAGAAGTTATAATGAAAAATCTCATATCTGAACAATCAGTTGTATGGGAGCTATATGTTATAGTGGTCCGATTCTTCCGGTTCCGACAAATGATTAATACATTATAAAAATACACCCACCTACCAAATTTGATCCGGATATCTCGAAAACTGAGAGACTAGATTGCATACAAACAGACAGACAGACGGACAGACGGACATGGCTAAATCAACTCAGCTCGACGTTCTGATCATATAAGTATACATTTTCATGGGTCTATCTCTTTTTGTTCTGGTACTTACAAACATCGGACCAAAGTTATAATACCATTTCATGCTCATGAAAGGTATAAAAAGTAAGTGCGCCTGGGCCACACTGGAGAAGTGAAACTTACGTTACATATCTATTTTATCTCATAATCAATATACATATGTATGTACATACATACATCTGCTTTTGCTTAAGGTTATATTTTTTCTATTCAGACATTTATGTTATTCTGTTTTCATTTATTTTCATTCTTATCTTTATACTCTATCGATAATAAAATCGGTGGTAACATCCAACAAAATATCGATAACAAGTATCGATAAAAGTATCGATAAAAAATCGATAACAATATCGATAACGAAATCGATAAAAATATCAACAACAAAATCGATACAAATATTGATAACAAAATCGATAAAAAAATCGATAAATAATCGAAAACAAAATCGATTAATAACTGATAAAAGAATCGATAACAAAACCAATAATAATAACGATAACAAAGTCGTTTAAAATATCGATTAAAAGGCGATAAAAAATATCGATTATTATATCGACAAGTTCTGAAAATACATATGAAAAATCCGATAACAATGTCAATAAAAACTTCGATAACAAAATCGATAAAAAATATCGATAACAAAACCTATAAAAATATCGATTATTACACCGATAAGTCCCGAGAATCCAGAAAATCTCTAAAGTCCCAAAACAGTTCCCAGAATGGGTCTCTGTGTTTTTCTATTTATATCCTTTTTCTATAATTACCTATATTTTAATCTTTCTTCCTCTATCTTCATCTTTACTTTTATCAGTATCCTCATCTTCATCTTTTTCTTTATATTTATATTTGTTTTTATACCCGAGCGCACTTGTGCACAAGGGTATTATAACTTTGTTCACATAACGGTTGTTTGTAACAGGCAAAACGAATCGAGATAGATATAGA